AAAAAAAATGTGAAAAAAAAAATTGGGGCAAGGAACTAAACCAGGGAGATCTCAAAAGATGAAACACAAATGGCTGAGAAATATACATACATATATATATATATATAAATGTTCCACATCTTTAGCCATCAGGGAAATGCAAATCAAAATTACTTTGAGATTTCATCTTACCCCAGTTAGAATGGCTAAGATCCAAAATCAAATAAGGGCAAAAGCTGGTGAGGATGTGGAGAAAGGGGAACTCTGATTCACTCCTGGTAAGAGTGCAAACTGGTGCAGTCACTATGGAAATCAGTGCGGTGATTCCTCAGAAAGCTGGAAATAGGTCTACCACATGATCCAGCAAAGACACTCTTGGGCTTTCATAGTGCTGGAAGCTGCTGTGGATACTACTGAAAGAGAAAAATAATTATCAACCTTGCCCAGCTGTGAATCCTGCAAACTAAAATAACAACTGGCCTGGAAAGACAGACCCACTTCATCTCGTGGTTTGATGGGTGTAATACTATTCAGTTCCATTGTGAATGGCAGCTGGTTCTCAGACTCAAATGTTTGCCACTTTTTTTCTAAGAAAAGAAGGAGGAGTAATTGAACTCAGAGGAAGAAAGCAAAGGAACTATCTAGAATTTTAGGAAGTTTAGTATAGTAGAGGTTTGCAGATTTGCTTGGAGAGCAGATGCAAGAAAATCAGAATGATTTGTTGGTATCAAATAAGAAGAGGAAGTGTACTTTTACAAGTGTATATGTGATGGCATGTGCATTAATTGAGAGGACTTCTCCAGATGCACTGGCAATGATCTGCAGGCCTCTTTCAAATGAGCTTTCCTACCTAGCTTCTGTGTAACTAATTTCATTCCCTTTCACTCACTAAACCTTCCTTTTCATTATTTCAATTCCATGGCTTTTCAAAAGATTCTATGAAAGATATGCCATTTACAACAGTATTGTAAAAATGCAGGACATGTGGGCAACCCAGCGGGAGAGAACAAAAGAGATTAAGTTAGAAAGAGATTCCAGCTTCATCCATTGTGCCAGGGCCCTGGCTGTCTGGCAAGTCCATAGTTTTAGCAAGTGGGCAAAAGCATCCTTCCTCAAAAATCACCTCTTAGCCCTTTCTGCTCTAATTCCTCTGCATATACCCTTTTTCTAACCATAAAGAATAATAGAATTTTGCTTCTCAAAGCTTGCCTTCCTTTTATTCCATACAAACAGGTGGCTTTCTACCCAACGAAATGTGCTAGGACAGGGACATTCTTTAGTAAGCCCATTTTAGTAACTAGTGCACCCATATCATGCAATGCCCACAGAAGTCAGAAAAGGGCATCAGATCCCTTGTAACTGGAATTACAGATGGTTGTTAGCCACCATGTGGGTTCTGGGATTCAAACCTGGGACTCGAACCCAGGTCCTCTGCAAGAGCAGCCAGTGCTCTAAACTGCTAAGCTATCTCTCCAGGCCCTAGTAACTAGCTTTTAAAGTAAAACAAGCCCACAAGTATAAAACATAATTTCTGAAAGTGCAAAATTTCAGAATATTCTATAGGCATAGAAGCTTCTAGAAAGATATGAAAAATCAAACTCTACCTCAGCACTGCCCAAATGGAAATCTGACACAAGTTATGAATATGGTTTAAAATGTTTTAGTAACCACATTTTAAAATACAAAAAGAAACAGATGAGGGACTTGAAAGATGGCTCAGTGGTTAAAGCACTGGCTGCTCTTGCAGAGGACCAATGTTTAATTCCTAGCACTTATAGGGCAGCTAGCAACTGTCCATAACTCCAGTTCCAGGGGAATCTGATGCCCTCTTCTGGCCTCTGCTGGCATTTCACAACATTTTTGGTGCACTTACATACATATAGACAAAACACTAATACATGTAAAAAAATTTTTTAATTAATACTTTTTTCACGTACATTCTAAATACAGTTGTGGCATGTCATCAGTATAAAAATAATTGAGATGTTTTGCTACATTTTTAAACATTGTCTTCAAAACCTAGTGTGTGTACTTCATAGCCACAGCATGTATCATCCTGAACCAGTAATATCTTACATGCTCAGCAATGATTGTACTGAACAGAGAAGCCTCTGATTTGTCAGCTAGGCTGTATTACAGGTGGAAAATGTGAGGTTCTAAAAACTTAGCTTTCTCAATATTGTACAGTGCTGAGAAATTCCTAGCATGAATTTGGAGCCTTTTTTGTCAATGAAAGCATTCTCTTCCCACCAGAATGGAGGTGTAGCTCCTGGAAACATTATCCATTAGAATTACCCCTGTCTGCAAGACCAGTAATGAAGTGTTTTTCATACTGGGTTTTCATGCTGGGTCTTCACAAGAACCACCCTACTACAGATTTATAGCCTATAAAAATTCCAAATTGGAAATGCTCCAAAATTTAAAACTTTTTGAGAACT